AGTTTCTTGCTAATACGTCAACACTGCAGCTAGCACCGCCATACAAGAGAGCACTGGGAGCGTCTGCCTATTGATAATCCTTGAGAGGACGCTCCTGAATTCGCTAGGCAGCACGACAGTATATGAACACTGCGAATATTATCGAGCCCTCCTCTACTCTACGGGCGCCCCGGTCGTTTCAGTAAAAAAAACAGGACAATGCTTGGAAGTTCTGTGTATATTATCGTAATCTGAACAAGATCACGAAAAAGGACGTAAACCCGCTTCCGTGTATTGATGACGCACTGGACTCATGGTGTCAAATATTTCTTTTCGATCGATTTACGTTCTGTCTATTGGCAAATTGCAGTCGACGAATCAGATCACGAGAAGACGGCATTCGTTGACCAAGACGGTCTCTGCCAATTCGAAGTGATGACTTTCTGACTATGTAATGCCCCGGCCACCTCAGAACACAATATGGACTCTCTCCTACGTGATCTTAAAGGGTCCACATACGTGTGTTATCACGATGACATTATTGTTTATTCCCTACCTTTGACGGCCACCTCCACAGGCGCTCGGCCGTCCCTGACGTCTTCGAACGAGCCGGCCTACAGCTAAATCCTGCGAAATGTTATTTCGGCTGTCGTCAATCATGAGTTCTCGGTCACCTGGTGTACGCAACAGGCGTACCGCTTGATTCCGACTAAGTGCGCGCAATCCACGAATTTCCAACTCGTCGTGCTGATGTCTGATGTTTCCTAAGGCTCTGTTCTTACTTCAGGCGCTTTATTGAGGACTTCATCAAAATTGCACTTCCTTTCACCAACATTCTTTAAATGGACAGCTCTTTCAGTTTGGAACCTGAGCAAGCTCAAGGATTTTGAGCACTTACGAGTCGCCGTGTGAATCCACCCGTTCTGGGTCATTTTGACCCATCTGCTTACATGGAAGTTCGTACGCATGCAAGTGGCCATAGTAGTGGCGGTATTTTCCCCAGCGACAGGGGGATATCAATCGTGTAATCTTTTATGCTAGCCGCCTTCTTTCGCCTTCAGAGCACAAATATTGGATCACAAAAGATGAATGCGTTGGCCTTGTTTGGGCCATTGGTAAGTTTCGCCCATGCTTGTTTAGACAGCATTTTACCGTGGTAACAGACTATTATGCCCTATATTGGCTCTCCTCACTCAAATATCCTACAGTATGCCTTGGTCGTTGGGCATTACGTTTCTGAGAATTCACATTTTCTGTAGCGTACAAGCCTGGACGGCTACACAAGTTCACTGAATGCCTGTTTTGATACCCTGTCGACCAGCCTGACACCAACAAAAGTGATTTGGATATTTGTACTTTGTCAGTCAGTGGCTTCCTTCCTACACGTCACCGACTAACAGCGTCGCGACCACAATTTGTGATCCCTTATACAACTTCTCACCTCATCACCAAAGGATGGCTGTCTTCGTATGTTTATACTGTACGTCATTACTTTGTATCAACGCAATATGACACCACACAATGTTGAACTGCTGCTCATTGTTCCTTAGCATCTGCGATAATTTATTCTCTCGCAATTACACGATGCTCTGACCACTGGTGATTTGGGTTTTTACGAAACTTATGATCGTGTGCGCACAAGTTTTTTCTGGCCAGACCTTTACTACTCATTTTGGTGTCTTCGTTCGCGTGGCGACAGCACGTCGTGTTGTCCGTGATCCACTCCTGGCATCTCAAGCCGACCAAAAGCGCCGTTGCGATAGCCACCATCGCGACTTGCGTTTCACCCCTGGCTCCCTGGTCTTGCTCTGACTGCCTTCGCGTCACGTTGGCTTGAGTGAAAAACTGTCGCGATACGTAAGGCCTTGCCGAGTTCTTCGCCGAGTTACCGAAGTCGCATACGAGATTTCGCCGCTAACCCCGAAGCGTTCATCCGCCTCACTAGCTACTCGACTGTGCATGTTTCCCGACATCACGTTCACCTACCGCATGCACCGAGACGTTACACGGGGCACTGTGGTCATGAAGCACCGACTTGTCTGCAGTGTCTTGTCTTGCTCGAATTACGCTTTCGCATCTTCAAATCGTCTGGCCAGTCCCAGTCCTTTGAATGTTCTCCAGAGTTGTAAATGACGTCCTTTAATGGCATGTTTTCATTTCGAGAAAAGTGAAAAGTCACAAGGACTCAATTCAGGTGAATAGGGGACGGAGGAACAAGGATAATGCGTTTTGAGGTAAAATATTCACTAATGAAGAGGACTGTTACAAGAGGCACCGTCATTATGAAGCATTCACTTGTCTTCAATGTCTGGTCTCGCACGGATAACGTTTTTACACGTTCAAGTTGTCTGTCGAAATTTGATGTTAGGTGAAACTGTTTAGCTCCCCATATATTATCCTTATTTTTAATTACGCACTGACCTCACAAGAGCCTTCACACGTTCGACGTTTTCGTGAATTTTCGAAGATGCGAGCCTCCTTGAGCAAGCTTCATTTTCAAAGTTTTTTCAGCCTTCCAAAAATGATTTTTTTCGTGGGGAAACTTGAGTTCTTGATAGACCATGCTCTTCATATGCGCATTTCAACTTTTCAGAAGTCACACTTACGGAATAACCAAGTTCAACACAGAACTTCATGGCACAATACTGTTCTCAATTCTGATGCTTCATTTCTGTAACACACAAAAATGCCACGCGTCTTCTCATGGGCGATCCGAGTCTTTCTGCATGTACAACGAGATACGCAAACACCATTATCTCGCAAAAAGAGTTCTGTCTCTGCCACACTCCTCACTGTACAAGGCCCAAGATGTTACTCGTATACTCCTCCAAACAAGAACCTACACGAGCCCTGCGGCAGTGCACACGATATACCCCGAACGGTTCTCAAGCACAGATTGCCCCACATGTGGTAGTTATGCGGACTTCGAGCATGTTCTGGGGGCTGTGTCTTTGCTGATCCTACTTTCCACCGAGAAGAAATGAAGAAGCTGATTAGGGCTCAGGACCCCACCTCTCAAATCCTGGCCGTCCAGAGGGCCCGCAATATTGTGGTCAGGTTTAACCTGACCACCCCCGAGTGCGTCTAGCCAGGTGACGCTGAGTTAACTCACGTCTATTGTGGACCAAATGAAGTTGTTTCACTCACTCACTCACTCACTCACTCACTCCGCTTATGGCGCTGTAAGAACTACAGTGTTGGCTATACGAAGTTGTAATTCAGACTAAGAAAGTTGACGGGATAAACAGAGAAATCTGTGACATTTCGCTAGAAACAATGTTGCCATATCACCTTCAGTATTACCAGTATGCAGTTTTTCTAACGCACCTCGTATATAAAAAGTCCTACACTGACGCACGCTGATGGAAGAAAACTCTGATGACCGCGCCACAATAAAAGCGTCTCGTCCTTCTTCTTTATTAAGAAGTATTCTATATTATACCATGCTAACATCTTAGAATGCTTGGAACTTATTATAACGCCTTCTTACCACCTGTGTCGGCCAGTTCTCTAAATCTGTATTAGTGTCTTGAATTGGGCTGGTTTGTACATACCGATTTTGACTAAAGCAACTGCGCTGGAACAAGATAGAGACAAAATGACGTGCGTGTTTGTGCCATTCACGCCGTGCTTGTGTAATCACGTCAGCGTCCTCTTCCGGTGCTGTTTTTTCAGTTAAAATTTCTTAATATTCTAGATGAGGATTACATTCCCTAGCAAAAAATTGGTGTCACGCCTAAATGATTTTCAAATGGCTGCGCAAGCGCGTAGGTACGTGTGCCCAACTAAAACTGGATTTCATAGTCCCACCTTTTAAAATACATTCGATTGCAGGTGAGCAATCGTCCTTTGTGATCTTTTTGCCTCCGTCGTCATTCGTCGCCGTTCGTCGTCGTTAATCGCTGTTCTGATTGTAGGTACCAGTGTTTGTTGGTGGTGTTGATTTTTTTATATTTTTGTGGGTCATTCGTGATCATCTCTGCGTACAATACTGCTATTTCTCTTTATTTGTGCCACTGATGACTCTGTGTTTCTCTGGTGAGTTTTACAAAGCTGTCAATTCAGGGGCGTCCGCCTCTTCAAGCTACTTCTAACAGTATCTTTTTGTGGCCGCTCCATCCTTTTATGAATAAGAAAAATAAAGATTTGATTTGATTTGATTTGATTCCTACAGTTACAGCATCCCACTTCATGACATGAGGCCTTATGTCTTCGGCCTTATGTTGCCTTAGTTGTGTACGGCGTTGTAAATGGAGCTTCGTTTTCCTTGTTGACGACAAGAGAAGCGTACCAATGTTCTCAGCATTTTATTAGGATAGCGAGTATATGGACAGTCTAGATGGGGTATTTCTATCGCCGTCGCCATTGCCGTCACCATAGTCATTGTATTCCGTATAACGTTCAGATTGATAGATCCCCCGACAAACCGTACGTTCTACCATCATTTATTAGCGCGCAAGCAGGGGTGACAAACACTGCTGAGGCAGGGATCAAACGAGCCCGCGCATCTTCATCGCTTGCTGGGCGCATGCGATAAAATCCCCACGCGTGCTACACTGGCCAGCGAATGCTCAAGGCGAAAGAAAACGCCCCGCCCGTCTTTAACGAGCATGAACAAGTGCGAGGGGAGGGGGGTGCTCAAGCCAACGCCTCCTTTATTTTATTGGAGGAGGTTCTGCTCGAGCAGTAGTGTGAAGTGTAATATTCTGTCGTCATCACCAATGCGTGTGCTATCTCGCTATCTCCGCAGCCGCCAGCGGGTGGTTAGTATACCCTTCTACGTTCTGCGCTCTCAACGCGGAGAGGGCGTACGGAAGATGTCCCTTGACCGACCATATTTTCTTACACCAGCGTTTTGTACAGGTGTGCAAAATCAAATTTGAATGGCAAGCTGCTAGCCTGACTTCGTATTCTATCTAAATTTGTTGCTATCGCATTCATTGCATCACCGTCGCGGTAAAACTGCGATCTTTTTCTAACATTTCCAGCAATGAACACTGTATTACTCCTTGAACCTACAGGGTGCGACACTAAGTGGTGGACAGAAGCAGAGAATAGCCCTTGCTCGAGCGGTGTACAGCGACAGCACCATCTACCTTCTTGACGACACACTGAGTGCGCTTGACGTGCATGTTGCGTCGAAGGTCTTCCACAAAGTGATTGGCCGACGCGGAATTCTACGAAAAAAGGTGATGCAAATGCAATGCAGGACATGTAAACTGCTATGCTGAAATATACGAGTTGAACAGCCATTGCGTACCACATCTTTCAGCAGATTTTCTTGCGCGGTTCAAGACTAAATTGCTATTTTTTAAGTTACCAATGCAACCAACAAGCCAATAAGCTGAGAAGAGCATACGAATAAAGAATATGCAATTCAGTATATTTTCTTTAACTTGAGGTTTGTTTCATTGGTTGTCTGTTACAAAAACGAATAAAATAGATGAGGAAAAGAAGGAGAAAAAGACGGAAGGACATAGAGGTTAGCCAGTTATCAGACCCTGAAAGAGAAGAGAAAAAAGACCCCTTCTTCCACTCTTCTATTACAGTTGTTCACATTGAAATATATTATGATAGTACCCTACTCATTTCACTCTTTAGGAAATAGGAAGCAGTATCGTAACCAAGGGGGTGTTGAAAGTGCCAGCTCCCTCCTTCCCACGTTTTACATTGCGTGTGTGTATATACGTGTAGACATACAAACACACCTTAAATATTAAGACGATCCTGCGCCACATACGCCCCACGCGAAAAAAAGTTAGTGGCTGTGACCCTGAGGGTAAGTGTGATGTAATGCGACGAAACTGGTGTAAGAGTACACCTTGCCCTGATACACATGATGTCGCTTTTAGTTCTATACCTGCTTGATGTTCTTATACAGTTGATACCTGTTTTCACGGCAGTTGCTTGAGGTCGACTGAGCACTGGAAACTTAACATATTCCGGGAATCAGTGGTGGTAGTGTTATGGTCATTTTTTGGGGACCAGTCTACCCCCCCCCCCCGAAAAAAGAACTTGGCATAGCTGAGCTATGCCAGCATATACATAGCGTGAGCTACGAACGAGTGGGTGGACTGGCGAGCGAGCTCATGCAAGTCAAGCGCCAGGCTACCAGTAACACGTCAATCCAGGAGCATCCGCACCTTCTCCGGCGTGCCAGATGGGTGCCGTGTGACTTCGCTCCTCTACGCCCGTACGCCGCACAGCTCTCGATAAGCCACGTCAAAGTGCTCATCCTCGGCTACTGTAGATTACGCTACAAAATGCATGTCTTCAGTTTGACACATCTCTCTGCCATAATGCCAAAGCTCCAAACGCATGCATAAGTACACAGCTGTGTTAGTGAATTCATGCACTCATAAGCAAATGGCTATGAGTTCCTAAAAGTGGCACTCTGACTTTTGAACCGTGAAGAATTGTTTAATATCCCACAGTAAGACGCCACCCCCCCCCAATGAAAATTGGGAGGGGGGTGAACATGCCCTATGAATAATAATACATGGCTTTGTACGTAACTGTGTGTAAATACATACACGTGAGAAATGGAATAAGTTCGGAGGGATATAAAATCTCTCTCAACCCGCCCTGTATGCCACTGGTATCCTGTGACAGTGCATCAGTGAACGCGAATGTACGAGTAGCGGCTTTTTGTCATTGAAACGGTTTATGTCTGCAGTTAAGTTAGAGCGTAAACTTGTTTTCTTGTTTTTTTTTTCAGACAAGACTAGTTGTATGCACACAGATTCAGTTCCTTGAGCATATGGACAAAATACTTTTGGTTGCTGACAGACAAATTACGTCTTTCGATAGTGTGAGCGAACTGATGAAAGATCCCAGGTGCCCCAGGATGATTCGCAATGGCGATAATGCAAAAGAAGAGAAAGCGCATGAGAATGATACGTAAGTAGACGAATGCCCATAGGGGAAGTTTCTTCACGAACCGAGCTACATTTCTGATCACTTCGCCTTATGCATGAATGACTCACGTTTAAATAGCAAACCTCCTTGACTTTTGTGGTGCACGACAGCTTCCGTCCACTTATAGAGAATCCAGGTGACTTCCTCGAAGAAAGCGCATACTATGACCTCATCGAGGGACGTCATTATGACTTCACGAATTAGCAAAACATTTTGTCTTCTCATGATGTTACTGTATAACTGCTCATCGCGATGTTCTAAACACATATTGTCGAGTGGTCAAAGGTGTGCCGATACCGCAGCAAGCGCACCAACGCGTCGAGTGCAAAAAGAATCCTGCGAGCAGCACGCCTTGCGTGTTTCACCAGGTTACTCAAGCGCAGGCGCTGCGCTGCCACGGTCGGGCACGAAGTGAGAGTCCTGCCCGGAAAGCTTGAGTCACAGCCTGTGTAGTCTTGCCTGTGTACTCAGCACAGCCTGTGTACTCAGCACGTCTGTGTACTGCACCGGCGTCTATTCGCCAGTGCAGTAGGGACATCGTCCACCGTTGTGTTGCGGGCCATTCATATGGCCCACTGCGTCCCCGATGGCGACTTGACAAGGCTACTAATGTGGACTCCTTCCGGTTGAAGGCTCTGCTGCTGTCGCACGGTTTCCTTGATGCAGGCCTTTACCAGCGCCATAGCCAATGCCAGCTGCGAGTCCATCTGCAAGGCCACAGACAGTTGAGCATCTCAGAGCCCGACCACAAACCAGTCTCGGATGTGTCCTTTCTTCATATCGGCGAAGTCCCAGCGGTATGCCAACTCGTGAAGGGTGGTTGTGAACTGAAGCAGTAATTCTTCTGGCCGTTGGTGGCGTCTGTGGAAGCAGGGAGTTGCGTAAACAATGTTCCTTTAATTGACGAAATGACTGTTGAACTTCTGCTTGATGACATCATAACTCTTTGCTTCTTCACCAGTCAGCCCAAATGTTGCAAATACTTCGTGGGCTTTGTGGCCCGTTGGGTAAAATAGCGTGCGTACTTGGGCCTCTCCTGAACGTCCGTTGAGAGCTTTGGTGAAATCTTAGTCTCTAGGTGGTCGATCCACGCCGACGTTTTGTCAAAATCCAGCGGTGGTGGCTGTATTACCGCCAGCCCATGTATTACCGTTAGAGGCTTGTCTGACGTTTTATGGGAATTTGGCCGTTCACAATATTTGGCCAGCCCTCAATTCTGACACCATGTCATGACACTGCATGCGAGCGCAATGTGTATGCGTGTCGCAATAAACAGTAGACGAACTGTGCTCTTGATGACGCAAATAAAAAACCTGTTTATTATGCTGGTCGATAATATATATGCCGGGGATATCTCGTGTTAACGGTAGCTCGGCGCATACCCTTGTCGCCCAGCTAGGAGTTGTGACATCACATGATGAACACGGGCAAGGGGTAACAGCACAGATATGTGCTTCGAAAATTTTGTGAATTTCAGTATTCACCACTGGTTCTCTAAAAGGAAGAAGACGACATTTAGGTGAACAAGTGGTTGTGTGTCGCAGAAACTTCTGCGTTCTATGATGTTTTATCACTCGCATAAACAAATATGAGCCAAAAAAATCCGCGTAAATTTCTTTGCCCCTTTCTTGCAACAAAACTTCACGCATCTCCGCGAAATAAATGATGAGGAGTTAGCGAAACGGAGTACTAAGGTTCATAATGTCTACGTCGAAGTCGGCGATTAGTATAAAGTACGGACGCATGCATGCGCAGATATACAGACACAGCGGCGGACAGGTGGACGAATGCGCGGACGCATAGAGGGATGACGCAGGTGGTTTTGCGAGCTTCACATGTACGTAGTGCGACAGTTTTACAGTGGAATTCTAGAGGACGTAAATCACGGATCTCATGTTTTCGACATTACGTTTTCCGCAACAGATTTCCTATATTAGTAATATGTGAACCTAATATGTCAAAAGCGATAAAGCTTTCTAGCTACGAAGCCTTCACTTCATCGACTTGTGGTGAGCCCAGGAAAGTAATTATGTATATCCGCACAGATTTAACCTACATTCCACATTTGGTGCAACCCCATAACGGAAATCGATACGTATGCCTCCGCGTTGCAAAGAAGAAGGTATCCTTCACGCTTATCAACGCATACATCTCACCATCTGGTCAGTTCGATGGTGAAAGACTACATGACATCTTTACCACTACACCTGGACCTTGGATTGTCATTGGTGATTTCAATGCTCATCACTTGCTTTGGGGAAGCACAAAGATTGATTCCAGAGGCCAGAAACTTGCTGAGTTCGCCTCAAGACACGAACTTACCGTTATGAATGACGGCAGTCCAACGTATTTGCGTGGTTCAAGATATAGCAGTTGCTTGGATCTTGCATTGGTGTCACGGCAATTCACCCAACAAGTGCGATGGTTCACTGATATTAAGAGTCATGGCAGTGATCACATTTCAAAGTATCTGCAGGTCACAGGTTTTGCAACTTCCTCCTCATCAACTAACAGAAGAGTTAATTGGACAATGTACAAGGCAAAGGTGGAAAAGGCATGCGATGATATCGCGTGCGGCTTCGAGGAGGTAATGAAAAATGTGACCGAAGAGGTTACGTACGCCTTCAAATACACATCAAAGCGTACAGAATTTGATATAGAACTTGAACGACTACGAACGATTCGTAGGCGGGCGGAGAGGAGGTACAGGTGCACTAATTCGATTCATGACCTCAGAGACGCTCGACGTCTACAAAAGAAAATCCAACGTCGAATGGAGAAGCTGGAGGACCAACGGTGGAAGAAAATTTGTGAATCACTCGATCCTCGCAAACCTATGTCCCATATATGGAGGACGGTGAGTGGCCTTGGCTCGACTCCACAACAACGTCCATTCAGCACATTGGCTCTCCATCAAGGCCGCCTGCAGGTTAACGTTGCTGAAGATTTCTGCGTGAGGTTTGCGGGCAATGTGGTTACCATGAGTGACGAAGTTCTCGGGGATGTTCCTGTAGCACGAGTTTCTGAATTGAATATGCTTTTTTCACTTGAGGAACTGGATGCAGCTCTAGCCACCTGCAGACGTTCATCGTCCCCTGGGCCGGACGGTATTACATACGCTGCTTTATGCCATTTTGGAAGACGCGGCCAAGACCAGCTACTAAAATGCTACAACCAGTCATGGAACGATGGCGTCATTCATGAAAGGTGGAAATCCAGCCGCTTGGTACCAATCCTCAAACTCGGAAAGTCGCCGCTTGATCTGGCATCATATCGACCCATTGCGCTATCCAGCTGTGTGGAGAAAATAATGAAAAGAATGGTTCTGACACGCCTCGAGTGGTATCTTGAACGCTATAACATATACCCAGAGGCCATGGCTGGTTTTCGAAGAGGCCGCTCTTCTATTGATAATGTCATCGACCTCGTAACCTCTGTGCAACAACAGAAATACCTCAAGCGCATGTCGGTTGCAATGTTCCTCGATGTGTAAGGAGCATACGACAACGTAACGCATGATGCCATTCTAGATGCCTTGGCGAACATTGGAATCGGTGGAGAAATGTTTCGATGGATTCGGAGCTACTTACAGAGGAGATCCTTCTTCGCGCTCACTGCGGAAGGCCGCACCGATGATCATTACACCGCTCGTGGCGTTCCACAAGGCGGGGTTCTCAGCCCTACGGTATTTAACCTCACGATCATTGGCCTTGCACAAAGTCTATCTCGATCAGTCAATATCTCCACATACGCTGATGATATATATATCTGGGCTTCAGCAGTGACAAGACTCCAGGTACCCGCGCGGCTCCAAAAAGCAGCGAGAATAACGCCAACGTACCTCCATGCTCGAGGCCTCACGATTTCCACCGAGAAGTGCGCCTTAGTCCCTTTTACCCGCAAACCCATGATCTGTTATCCTGTTTCTATCGACAACGTGAACCTTTCGTATACGAGACGTCACTGATTACTGGGCATCATTATCGACAGAGATCTCTCGTAGAGTGCTCACATCTGGCACTTGAAGAAGAGGCTCAGCTCTATCACACACGTGATGAGATTTCTCGCTGGTAAAACGTGGGGCACATCAGTGTCATGTATGCTTCAGCTGTACAGAGCGCTCTTCTTGGGATATTTGCGGTATAGCACGCCCGTGCTTTCCAACGCCAGAAAAACTAACATCAGGGTACTGCAAAGCATTCAAGGCCAAGTCCTCCGCACATGCTTGGGGCTACCTCCATGCACTAATACGTTAGCAACAATTGGTATTGCTAAAGACCATCCGATCACGACATATATAACTGTCGACACACTCCGGACACATATCCGTCTCATATCCAGAGTGCCTAACCACCACCTTGCTAGCTTGCCACTAGAACGACCAAAGGCATCGTTTTCCAAAGTTGTTGCGGCTAAACAGAATTGCATCTCCTGGAGATTCTCGCCCGCAACCATACCACTATCTCCAGAGTGGCGCATGAAAAGACCGAGTGTGCACTTTGAAGTGCCGGGGATATCTAAAAGGCAAGCCTGTCATCTGCAGCCCTGAAGCAGATCTCAATGGACCTTTTGCATTTGTCGTATGCTAACCGAATTAATGTTTACACGGACGGTTTGGTCTCGGGAAGTTCGACAGGTGCCTTTGTCATACCATCTCGATCAATCACCATCAAATTTAAGACATCATACGTCACGACATCTATGGAATCCGAGCTCGCCGCTTTTCGAGCCGCTGTGGAGTTTGTTACGCAAGAATCCTCTAGTAGATGGGCTATTTTCTGCGACTCCAAGGCAGCCCTTCAATGCGTGCGAAGTCTACGACGTGGAAACTACCACCAGATGGTGTATTGTATTAATGAAATTTGTCATCGCGCTGCTGATCAAGGACACGATATTGTTTTACAATGATTGCCATGCCACTGTGGCATCAGTGGTAACCACCTCGCTGACGACGCTGCTCGATGTGCCCACGGTGGAGCGCC